GTGACCCCGAGCCGGGGAGCTCCGGCGGGCTGCTGAGTCACGCGAACTAAAAGTAACAGAATCGGGCGAAAAGTGACGCCGTGGGGGGACATTTCTCGTTCAAGCATAGTAGAATTGTAAATGGGCTGACTCATGTCACGCTCATAACTGTGCTTGATCTACAACAGGGAACTACTGCTTTTTTCTTTCCTGATCTTTACTTGTGTAATATTCCTCTACTTCTTTTGTACGTTTGTCACTCTCTTGTGCACTGCTATTTTGGGGTGCCTTGATAGTCGAAGCAGATCGTGTGCTGTTGAAGCTAGAGATGTGAGCAGTCTAAGTCTGATTCCCTGTAAAGACTTCTCTGTTGACACCCACCCTTGGGGCTCATATGACCTTATGCAGTTGAGAGCGCCGTAAAACCCTCTACTATAAAAAAAAAATCTCCGTGTTATGTAGTTTGGAGGGGCCTGCTATTTCCAGTCTATCAGACCCTGTCGCTGCTGTAGATAGAAGAATATCTCATAGTACGTCATCCCTTCTTGACTCGTCTTGAGCTCTTCTCCCGTGGTAGAGACGTCTGCCGTCACCATCTTGTTCTGCGAATCAGACTGATCTACTTTTCCCAGCTGTGAGCAAGGGTCTGGCTCTCAAAAAGGAATTTCACCGTCCACCATTAGTGTTGTCTGTTCATCGCGTCTTCTGTCTTCTTTCATACCGTCACGTCCTCTACTTTTCGTTGTGGGACGGTCTTTTCAAGATCGTTCGGTCGTGTTTTTGGCCTTGTCATCTTAGATTTTTCTTTACTGTTGTCAGTAGGTTTTCCAGTGGGGCCAGTGTTGCGCTAGATGGCCAGGAAGACGTCTTCATTCCAGTTGTATTCCACGAAAGACAGGCCCAAGAAGATATGTCAGCAGCCCGGGTATCAAAGAGACACAATCCCTCTCGAAATATATCACTATGGCAACAGAAACACTGACAACAGATCGAAGCAGTAGACTACATCAGACACCAACCCCCCTTTCTCCACCTCCTACCTTGGAACACCGGTAAAAACAACAGCAGCTTACCATCACTTTAAAAGGTTACGAGCATTTATTAGTAAGAAGAACAGTCACTTCCTCCTATCCCGGAATTCGGTTGGTCTTTATGGTTGTAGTACTCTTATTTTATTGTTTTAGTGTCATTGTTGTCCTTTTTTCTCCTCCTGACTTTCGACGATACACTGGTTAGCCACTTCTATCACCTCTTTTGCCAACCGGAAACTTTTGTCCAGGAAACTGTTGTGGTCAGCCACGTTTTGTGCACATTCCTCTGTTCCAGCGAACACTTTCACAAGTTTTGTAGTCCATCTCTGTTATCCTTGAAGGTCAGTGCTGGCGCCAGTCTGAACGTTTCTTTCACACGAGAAGTGTTTCGGCAGACCTTGCTCAGAGTGCGGGAAAATGTCGGTTTCTTGGATTTCACTATTTTGACGAGCACTTGAATTCACCACGATGACATACACATCAGTCGTATTTTGGAAAATACACAAACCTTGTTTCGTGAAATACGTTAATTAAGCGGCCCAAGCTTCCTTAAACTCCAGTGACTTTGTGCTAATTTAAGGGTGACACCTTTGTAAGCACAAAACAATAGTCCCACGTAAACCTTTTGGGGATGAAAAGTCCCTTGAAAGTGGGAGAGTTACGTCGCCTGTGGCTAAAGAAGTGAATCAAGGCGCCCAGATCACACACAAAGGCTGGGCAAAATAAAGACCACCTGATACCATAGACCGTCACACACTGGGAGTTCTGGTTGATCGAAATGACTTCACAAATCGAAATATCTGCGATGCCGTTCGGATATCAATGACAGCATTCACATGTTAGAATATCTTTAAGTTGTTGTGGAACTGGATCTTCCCTATCCCCACCCAAAACAACAACAGCAACAACAACAAATACCCCCCCCCAAAAAAAAAAAAAAGAGAAATTTTTTTTTTAATTTATAAAATAAACGACAACAAGAACAGAATCTGGTGTCTTGGGTTGTTGTTTTTTTTAAAGCTGTTATTTGTCAATTATATCGATGTCACTCTGACATCACACGCGCAGGTGACTGTGGAGACATACCCGGGCTTTGACGAATTCTTTCTTGATTTTGGAGGTCGTAAAGACGTAACTCATTGCTAAGAGCGTCTTTTAATTAGTACTTAACTTAAAGTGAGGAGAAGGGGATTGTGAAGGCCTCAAACAGACTCAAAGAAAAGGATACAGAAATGAGCATCAGAGAAATTATGTTAGGCGCTATAGGGGCGAACTTCATTGTTATTGGTTTCAATCACATATTCCGTCAAGTACTCATTATTGAAAGATACGTGCATTCGCAACCCCCGCCCTCCCGTCACTCTCTCTCTCTCTCTCTCTCTCTCTCTCTCTCTCTCTCTCTCTCTCTCTTTCTCTCTCTCTTTCTCTCTCTCTCCACTCTCTCCGTCTCTTTTCTTATTCCTCCATATTTCCCCCCCCCCCTCTCTGTCTGTCTGTCTGTCTGTCTGTCTGTCTGTCTCTCTCTCTTTCTCTGTCTCTCTGTCCCGCTCTCTCTATCTCTCTATCCGTCTCGTTTCTTTATCCCTCGCTCTTTCTCACACTGTCTTTCTCCCTCTATCTCCCTGCTTCTGTTCCCGTCTCCTCCCCCTCTCTCTCCTGTCACCCCCACTCCCCCTCTCTCTTTCTCTCTCTCTCACTAACCACCTACCTTGAGCGCGGCTGGCAGCTACCAGGCACAGAAGCAGGGTCAAGGCCCGGAGCACGTGCATGGTGCTTGTGGTCAGTTGGAGAGGACAAGGTCCGGGAGGTGAGCGAACGTAGATTCGCTGGTTACAAGTATACCTTCAGATGCCTTTGGATCAACTCTGGAAAGAGAAAGAGAACGAAATTAATAACTATTTGTTGAACTAAGTGGTTGTTATTACTTTGTCAACGTTGGATCGAAAAAAGAAATGAGTCCAATATAGAAAAACAGTGCCCTCACAGTAGCAGTTACGAACTTAAATGTTCCACGTAGAAGGTGTGAGTTCGATTCTTGTGTGAGAATTATTTTTATCGAGTATCTACGTCTGTCTGCTTGGAAGTTGTATCCGTCTCATCAGAGTTGACCCTGGCAGGCTGGGTCAAAGTAGTCCAACTCTTAAATGATCTTGATCGCGCAGATGGCGGCATAACACATTTACAATTACATTATAGATACAGATAGTCAAGACGGTACCGTAAAACGATTTTAAGCACAAAATATATACATAGAGCTTTGCGTCAGCAGGAAATGTGTTATCATACTGAGCAAACATGTCCCCTGCTTTTTTTTTCTCTGAGCGGCATAATTAATTCACAAATATTGTCTTGTTTTGGGTTATTTTTTTGAAATGCTGAATGGTTCAATACGGGGCCTAATTAGATGATTTATGCCAATTAAAAGTCAATGTTTATTTGTATTGAAAAACATTGGCCAAAAAAAAGGGGCAGCCATTTTGTAATTTTATAGTGTTAGTTTTTTTTAGAAGTGGTCTTTTTTTCGGGAGTGTTTTCTAATTACATGGGTTGAACCCTTGTAGGCAGACACTAGCGATACAACTTTGAATTAGATTATGTTTTTGACAAAATAATAATCTTCGCCCCTAGTATTCTTTTTTTAAATAGCACATAACTTAAAATCAGAAATAAAGCCTTATGACGTATTTCTCTTCTTAAGGACGTTGAGTTCCAATCTTCAAGTCGCCTTGTACTGTTTTCTAAGTGTGTGAATGGTTGTGATTTATCCTCAAGAACGCTTCAAGATGGAAACGTAGCTAAAAGCTGTCGCCTCTCAACATAGTTTGCATCTTTGGGAAAGTACAGTCACAGCTCTCTTGACAAATTAGTCCTTTATGAAAGTTGAAAAAGGAAACCATTTTATCATAATAACCTCTATTCTATTCACAAAAGCTAGGCCTATGCTCGTATAGCATTACACACGACCTTTGTTCGTGATCTGGTTTTCTAATAGGCCCCTTTATGTGGACGTAAAAAATAAGAGATTTGATTTTCAGTAACTGCACTGCGTAAAAATTCCACAGGGTGGACATTTGCTTTAGCACATTATTTTATTTCTGTGAATCTGTATTGCGTTTTTCTGGGTTTGTATTTGGCAGGGGATGGAGGGGGCAAG